AGCTCCTTGTCCTCATATCCCAGCTCCTTGTCCTCATATCTCAGCTCCTTGTCCTCATATCCCAGCTCCTTGTCCTCATATCCCAGCTCCTTGTCCTCATATCCCAGCTCCTTGTCCTCATATCTCAGCTCCTCGTTCTCATATCCCAGCTCCCTGTCTTCATATCCCAGCTCCTTGTCCTCATATCCCAGCTCCTTGTCCTCATATCCCAGCTCCTTGTCCTCATATCTCAGCTCCTCGTTCTCATATCCCAGCTCCCTGTCTTCATATCCCAGCTCCTTGTCCTCATATCCCAGCTCCTTGTCCTCATATCCCAGCTCCTTGTCCTCATATCCCAGCTTCTTGTCCTCATATCTCAGCTCCTTGTCCTCATATCCCAGCTCCCTGTCTTCATATCCCAGCTCCTTGTCCTCATATCCCAGCTCCTTGTCCTCATATCTCAGCTCCTCGTTCTCATATCCCAGCTCCCTGTCTTCATATCCCAGCTCCTTATCCTCATACCCCAGCTCCTTGTCCTCATACCCCAGCTCCTTGTCCTCACATCCCAGCTTCTTGTCCTCATATCTCAGCTCCTTGTCCTCATATCCCAGCTTCTTGTCCTCATATCTCAGCTCCTTGTCCTCATACCCCAGCTCCTTGTCCTCATATCCCAGCTCCTTATCCTCATACCCCAGCTCCTTGTCCTCATACCCCAGCTCCTTGTCCTCACATCTCAGCTCCTTGTCCTCATATCCGTTTCAACAACATATAGTCATACTGGTTCAGTAATTTCTCCTCGTAATCAACACACCACTAACACCAACACACCCCCACCACACCCCCAACACCCACCACCACACCCCCAACACTCCCCACCAACACTTGACTTGGCTTGCAAGAACCCCTTAACGATATATAAATGATAATATATGTATATATGAGGCCAGAGTAGAGTCATTAATCTCATAACTTTAAGGAATTTTTACCAGCATAAATTCTTTAAAGTTTCCAGTTTCTCTTCTTTCTTCGAGACGAGAGTTGTGATAAGAATGGTTTATGTGTAGCTGGAAACTCTTCCGGATAGGAAAAAAATATATATATTTTCGCCTCTAAAGATTACGTGATTGAACAAATTGGTTATGGTCGGGAGAGTTGGTGGAAGTTGATGGTTGTTGGGGTCGAAATTGTTGGTTGGTTGGGGGTAAAAATTGGTGCTTGGTTTGGGTAAAAATTGGTGATTGGTTGGGGTAAAAATTGGTGATTGGTTGGGGTAAAAATTGGTGTTTGGTTGGGGTAAAAATTGGTGATTGGTTGGGGTCGAAATTGGTGCTTGGTTGGGGTAAAAATTGGTGCTTGGTTGGGGTAAAAATTGGTGCTTGGTTGGGGTAAAAATTGGTGATTGGTTGGGGTAAAAATTGGTGATTAGTTGGGGTCAAAATTGGTGGTTGGCTGCGGTCAAAAAATTGAGATATGTTTCACAGAGACGGAAATTAATATACCAACGCACACTGTAGTCGATATGGATAAGTACTCTGGAATGGTACCCCAATTACTTGGATCGGTAGTTAACATCACTGCCTAGTTGCAAATGTAGATAAGATAGAGCCCAATAAACTCAGGAACCTGTAAACCAGTTAACTGGCAGTTGAGAGGCGGGACCATAGAGCCGAAGCTCAACACCCACACACACACACATGGTGATTAAAGCTGTTTTTCCGATAGAAGATTGACAGGCGAGTCAGGCTGTCAGAATGACAGACAACAACAATTTTAGGTTGAAAGATAAACGTTTTGAACATTTTAATGTATAAATATTGTGCTCTGTATATTGTGTATGTATACATGCTGCTGTGCTGGACATGTGTATGTATACAGACGATGAGTCACCATAACGGAGCTGAAGAAATAGTGACCAAACCACGGTTCAGAAGATAGTGAAGTGACGACGACGACGTTTCGGTCCGTCTTGGATCATTATCAAGTCTACACGACTTGCTAATGGTCCACAGGAAGGACCGAAACGTTGTCGTCACTTCACCATCTTCTGAACCGTGGTTTGGTCACCATTCATACATATACAGGCGTGAAGCTCATGCTATGAATTCACCTATAGTCTATGTAAGTCAGACTTTAACAAGCCTTAACTACTATATTAAGTCTGAAATGTATTCCTTCAGCTCGGGGAAAGAATTTATTAACTAAATTATATTTTGAGCGAACTCGCTGCTCATCAGTTCTGAACGAGCTCATTAGGCCATTAGCTGCGAACGAGCTCGTAACTTCTTCAAGTCTGAACGACCTCGTTAAGACATGAAAAACTCGCGTACATTATTTGCTTTGAGTAAATAGAGTACTATACACTTTATCACTATAATCTCATTATTTGGATCAATATTATATCTTCTTTAATCACTATAATCTCATTATTTGGATCAATATTATCTCTTATTTTAATCACTATAATCTCATTATTTGGATCAATATTATATCTATTTTAATCACTATAATCTCATTATTTGGATCAATATTATCTCTATTTTAATCACTATAATCTCATTATTTGGATCAATATTATCTATTTTAATCACTATAATCTCATTATTTGGATCAATATTATCTATTTTAATCACTATAATATCATTATTTGGATCAATATATTCTTATAAGTCAAAATTCCTAATACACCGTAAATTTTCCTAAGTGACATTATCTATAGTGCCGATACCTTAACTACTGTAACTAACAGCCTAAGTTAGTGTAACTACTCAACAACCATGCATGCCACTCGCACTGTGAACCAGCGATCAACGACCCAACCACCATTGAACTTAACAAGCACTTTATCATGCCCAATTTATATCTATACAGCGAATTAGAAATCGATGTTAACAAGTAAAATATTTTGGAATATGATTCACTCGTGAGAGGATTTCTGCATCGCTCTGGTAATTATGTTAAAACAATCATCGAGGCTCTAATTGGATTATATTTAAGAAATGTAATTACAGTCTGTTGTTAAAATATAATTGGGGGTGTGGAGGGGTCGAATGGGGGATAGCTCCCCCTTTCCTTCCCTATTTATTTATCTAACTCCTTTACCCTTTGTTTTATTTTCTTTCACAAGAAAAATGGATTATTTCTTTCCATTGGGAAAAAATGGGGGTGCTGGGCCCCAGAGACGCCCTCCTGAAGGGCCAGAAACGGGTGACTATCTATTCCACTACGGGCTCACCATAGCCCGTGCTACTTGGATCTTTTAGTTCCAGGTAGCGAATCTTTAACAACAGCAACTGGTGACTATCAGTCATATGTGTAGCGAAATAAAGATGTCGATTCAATTCTGAATTTGTGAGCGGAGACGCTGTTTTATGAGAACGTGTAAGGGCCAGAGGTGTGTGTGTGTGTGTGTGAGAGAGACATATCTCTCACACACACTCTCTCTCTCTCTCTCTCTCTCTCTCTCTCTCTCTCTCTCTCTCTCTCTCTCTCTCTCTCTCTCTCTCTCTCTCTCTCTCTCTCTCTCAGCCAGATGATTGACACTTCCTCACTGTGATAAGCATATCCAATTCACAATCCAAATAATTTATTCGTCCGCCTGTTTAAATTATTAATTGGTAAAATATATAATAGACTAATTATAATATTTGTCTGTGCTCACACCCAGTTAGGCCTACACATTTTGGGTAATATTATTATTTCTAGCATTTAGGCCAATGTAATAGAGATATGACGTCACAATCTTGTTAATTTGTAAATCACAATTTGCATTATTGTATTACAGTAAAAATTTTTTTTTGCGTTTTCGTTACAAATTTGTAAAAAATTAATAATCCTGGATTACCGGTACGTTTTTTTTTTTACAATATATACAAATTATAATTTGAATTATACATATGTGCATAATTCATTGAGGCATACATATGTATAGATAATAGAGCTGTTACTCATTATTCATTTAGGGTGAAAATGGTGTATGAAGATAATTACTCACTGGATGAACAACACTGTGATGATACTATTATTTTTTTTTTTGAGCAATTTGCGTCCGATATTCTCTAACATGGTAATTTGTTGAATACTTTTGATAAGTACTTTTGATAAGTACTTTTGATGAGTGCTTTTGATGCTTTTGTTCAATGCTTTTGTCGAACATTTGTGTTGAATGGATTTTTTTAATTCTTTTCTTCAATACATTTTTTTCGCTTATTCTTTGAATTCATTTCTTAAATACATTTGTTAAATGATTTTGATGAATACTTTTTTTAATACTTTAGTTGAATATATTTGTTGAAATACATTGATTAAATGGAAAGTGCTGAATGCATTTTTAATAGAGTTTTGAAATAGATTTACTGAATGCATTTCATGGCTAATTACAGTCTCAATAATATGAATATATTTTTAAGGCTTATTTCTAATTATTAACAGTACTTGTATGAACTAATTGTACAAAAGTACGAAGATGGGCTTTTGGATCTAGAAAAGTTTCAAAACAATTTTGCTTTGTATCACTGAATTAGCCCAAAAGGTCCTACCTCTATCCTACACAATACCACCTTTCCATTCCCCTTTCCACCCTTTCTATCCTGTTCTCTTCCACCCTAATTCAGCCACCTCCCTTCTATCCCATCCCAAATCCGTACATTGCCACAATGAAGCAATCATTCAGGCGAGTATGGAAATCCGGCTCTGATTGTACACATTAATCTCGCCTCAGATATTCCGAGTAACAGCCAGTTCAACGCTGCGTCCAGTCAGTCAGTCAGTCTCTGCACTGACTGGTGAGAGATAGGAGGTGTTTAGAGATAAGGTGGGAAGAGAGCCTTTGGGTAGTCATATACCTTCTTGTATATGCATAAATAAATAAACAGTATAAGCTTCTCCAAACTCAGGAAGGTCATGAGAGTGACTAACACTAGAATTATTAAAGTATTTATTATATGTTTAAGAATATTCATATATAATAATTATTTAATTAATAATTTAGGGTAAAGTTAGCAATTAAGGCTTCAGGCACTCACCAAGGTAACTGAAGAAGAGAGGCACTCTCGCCATCAACATGATTGCCATCCCGACCCGCAGACCTGTAACATTGTAGCAACATTGTAAAAAACATTGTAGCAACATTGTGACAAAAACATTGTAGCAACATTGTCACAAAATATTGTAGCAACATAGTGGCAAACATTGTAACAGTGTAGCAACATGGTGACAGACCTTTAACAACATTATAGCAAACATTGTAGCAACATTGTAACAAACATTCAACCAACATTATAGCCAGCAGTGTATTTTAACATTGTGACAAAATCTTGTAAAGTTGTAGCTCAAATGTTCGAAGCTTAGTCCATAGAGTTTTATCGTTTGTTCTATCAAATGATTTAGATATCAGCGAGAGACCTAATATATATATATATATATATATATATATATATATATATATATATATATATAATATACAAATCAGATCGGGTAGACATGGTAGAGCAACTGGGGTAGATGGTAGATTTGCGGTCAAGGGGTTTCCCAGCACTCATATGAAACAACCTATTTGAGGGGTAGACCCGGGAATCACCGGGTAACCCTTCTAAGGAGTTTATATATTTCTGAATTATATATATATTATATTTGATTATTTATATATTTCAAATCCAACTTACACTCGCACTAGGGTTCAATCCCGCGATAGCGAGCGGGAACCAACGATAGCGAGCGATAGTCAGTAGTCAGCGATAGCGAGCGGGAACCAACGATAGCGAGCGATAGTCAGTAGTCAGCGATAGCAAGCGGTAGTCAGTAGTCAGCGATAGCGAGCGGGAACCAGCGATAGCCAGCGATAGTCAGTAGTCAGCGATAGCTAAACACAGTAACAAACTCCTCCACTACCACTTTCAAACATCCATTGTCATTCGGAACTTATACAAAATCGAATCGCGTTCATAAACATGTTTTAATGTATCCACGGGCCATGGAGCCTGTATTTTAGTGGTAAAAGCCGCAGCAAAAATCGCTAATATGGTGGTCATATTTAGCCAAGAAAGTTATGGTTGAGTCGTACGCCAGCCAACTACTTCCAGCGCTGCCTGAAATATCGAATGCGCTCGGAAACCCTCTCTGTCTCCCTCCCAAAGGATGAGAATTTATTCACGTGATTCACATTCACGAAGGGATTCATTAGCGGTGTTTATGGTTTATATTCTGCGTCGCTGCTTTAACTTTATTCTATAGGACCATTTTGGATTGTTAACATCACTTTGTGAACAATTTGGTAGTTATAAGTGGTTAAATAATAAAGTAGTTAAGTCTTGTCAAAGTCTGACTTACATAGACTATAGGTGAATTTATTTTGTGTTGGTGGTTAACACGATTATTTAATTTTGGGTTATAATATTTAGTGAAGCAAATCCACAAGGGCTGTGATGAGGGTTCGAATTTACGTCTGAGAGGATCCCAGATGCGCCTTAATCGATTAGGCCACGATATGGTGAAGTCTAGGGCAAAGAGGTAGGACAGCTTATTGACACAGCCCGAGTGCATGGGGGGAATTGTGTAAAACTTTGGTTTGTGTCTCGGAGAGGCTGCAGGATCCGTGTGAGGCCAGTGACGCTCCCGGTTGCAATTCTTTTTCCCATGTCGTGGCCTAGTCGATTAAGACGTGTCTGAGATCCTCTCAGACATAGATTCGAACCCTTCATCACGGCCCTTGTGGATTTGTTCATTTGATGCATCACGCTATTGTGATTTCTGTGTGTAATGTTTAGTGGTTAGAGGTGCATAGAGTCTAATAGGTAGTTAATCGTGTAGTGTATATTTGAGATATATAGACAGACAGTAAAAAAATTTCTGTCTGTCTGTCTCTCTCTCTCTCTCTCTCTCTCTCTCTCTCTCTCTCTCTCTCTCTCTCTCTCTCTCTCTCTCTCTCACTCTCTCTCTGTCTTCTGTCTCTCTCTCTCTCTCTCTCTCTCTCTCTCTCTCTCTCTCTCTCTCTCTCTCTCTCTCTCTCTCTCTCTCTCTCTCTCTCTCTCTCTCTCTCTCTCTGTCTCTGTCTCTGTCTGTCTCTGTCTGTCTGTCTCTCTCTCTCTCTCTCTCTCTCTCTCTCTCTCTCTCTCTCTCTCTCTCTCTCTCTCTCTCTCTCTCTCTCTCTCTCTCTCTCTCTCTCTCTCTCTCTCTCTCTCTCTCTCTAGACCAAAAAAGTCACAAAAAAGAGCCAACAGAGACAAAAAACACAAAAGAGAAGGAACAGCAAGAGCAACAAGGTTTGTGCTAGAGCCAATGACAGCCTCTATTGCTTCCCGCAAGCAGAATTCCCATATATTCATTTTCCTTAACACGCCTCAATGCTTTATGCATATTGAGCGGCAAAGAAAATGGAGTTCTTGCAATTAGCCAAAGCGAGCATGAATCGCATGAGTCAGTTACGACTCCAATGACCATGAATAGTCGTTTGAGATAATCGCAAGAAACTTCGCCTCAGGGTTTGTTTTGGCTCTATATAAGTGTGTAGCGTTACTCTCTACCACTAGTGTGTAGCGTTACTCTCCCACTAGTGTGTAGCGTCACTCTCCCACTAGTGTGTAGCGTTACTCTCTCCACTAGTGTGTAGCGTCACTCTCTCCCACTAGTCTGTAGCGTTACTCTCTCCCACTAGTGTGTAGCGTTACTCTCTCCCACTAGTGTGTAGCGTCACTCTCTCCCACTAGTGTGTAGCGTCACTCTCTCCCACTAGTGTGTAGCGTTACTCTCTCCCACTAGTGTGTAGCGTCACTCTCTCCCACTAGTCTGTAGCGTTACTCTCTCCCACTAGTGTGTAGCGTTACTCTCTCCCACTAGTGTGTAGCGTCACTCTCTCCCACTAGTGTGTAGCGTCACTCTCTCCCACTAGTGTGTAGCGTTACTCTCTCCCACTAGTGTGTAGCGTCACTCTCTCCCACTAGTGTGTAGCGTTACTCTCTCCCACTAGTGTGTAGCGTTACTCTCTCCCACTAGTGTGTAGCGTCACTCTCTCCCACTAGTGTGTAGCGTTACTCTCTCCCACTAGTGTGTAGCGTTACTCTCTCCCACTAGTGTGTAGCGTCACTCTCTCCCACTAGTGTGTAGCGTCACCCTCTCCCACTAGTGTGTACCGTTACTCTCTCCCACTAGTGTGTAGCGTCACTCTCTCCCACTAGTGTGTAGCGTTACTCTCCCACTAGTGTGTAGCGTCACCCTCTCCCACTAGTGTGTAGCGTCACCCTCTCCCACTAGTGTGTAGCGTCACCCTCTCCCACTAGTGTGTAGCGTCACCCTCTCCCACTAGTGTGTAGCGTTACTCTCCCACTAGTGTGTAGCGTCACCCTCTCCCACTAGTGTGTAGCGTTACTCTCTCCCACTAGTGTGTAGCGTCACTCTCTCCCACTAGTGTGTAGCGTTACTCTCCCACTAGTGTGTAGCGTCACCCTCTCCCACTAGTGTGTAGCGTCACCCTCTCCCACTAGTGTGTAGCGTCACCCTCTCCCACTAGTGTGTAGCGTCACCCTCTCCCACTAGTGTGTAGCGTTACTCTCCCACTAGTGTGTAGCGTCACCCTCTCCCACTAGTGTGTAGCGTTACTCTCTCCCACTAGTGTGTAGCGTCACTCTCTCCCACTAGTGTGTAGCGTCACTCTCTCCCACTAGTGTGTAGCGTCACCCTCTCCCACTAGTGTGTAGCGTCACCCTCTCCCACTAGTGTGTAGCGTCACTCTCTCCCACTAGTGTGTAGCGTTACTCTCTCCCACTAGTGTGTAGCGTTACTCTCTCCCACTAGTGTGTAGCGTCACCCTCTCCCACTAGTGTGTAGCGTTACTCTCTCCCACTAGTGTGTAGCGTAACTCTCTCCCACTAGTGTGTAGCGCCACTCTCTCCCACTAGTGTGTAGCGTAACTCTCTCCCACTTGTGTGTAGCGTCACTCTCTCCCACTAGTGTGTAGCGTCACTCTCCCACTAGTGTGTAGCGTCACTCTCTCCCACTTGTGTGTAGCGTCACCCTCTCCCACTTGTGTGTAGCGTCACTCTCTCCCACTTGTGTGTAGCGTCACTCTCTCCCACTTGTGTGTAGCGTCACTCTCTCCCACGAGTGTGTAGCGTCACTCTCCCACGAGTGTGTAGCGTCACTCTCTCCCACTAGTGTGTAGCGTCACCCTCTCCCACTAGTGTGTAGCGTCACTCTCCCACTAGTGTGTAGCGTCACTCTCTCCCACTTGTGTGTAGCGTCACCCTCTCCCACTTGTGTGTAGCGTCACTCTCTCCCACGAGTGTGTAGCGTCACTCTCTCCCACTTGTGTGTAGCGTCGCTCTCTCCCACGAGTGTGTAGCGTCACTCTCCCACGAGTGTGTAGCGTCACTCTCTCCACTAGTGTGTAGCGTCACTCTCTCCCACGAGTGTGTAGCGTCACTCTCCCACGAGTGTGTAGCGTCACTCTCTCCCACTAGTGTGTAGCGTCACTCTCTCCCACTAGTGTGTAGCGTCACTCTCTCCCACTAGTGTGTAGCGTCACTCTCTCCCACTAGTGTGTAGCGTCACTCTCCCACGAGTGTGTAGCGTCACTCTCTCCCACTAGTGTGTAGCGTCACTCTCTCCCACGAGTGTGTGGCGTCACTCTCCCACGAGTGTGTAGCGTCACTCTCTCCCACTAGTGTGTAGCGTCACTCTCTCCCACTAGTGTGTAGCGTCACTCTCCCACTAGTGTGTAGCGTCACTCTCTCCCACTTGTGTGTAGCGTCACCCTCTCCCACTTGTGTGTAGCGTCACTCTCTCCCACGAGTGTGTAGCGTCACTCTCTCCCACTTGTGTGTAGCGTCACTCTCTCCCACGAGTGTGTAGCGTCACTCTCCCACGAGTGTGTAGCGTCACTCTCTCCCACTAGTGTGTAGCGTCACTCTCTCCCACGAGTGTGTAGCGTCACTCTCCCACGAGTGTGTAGCGTCACTCTCTCCCACTAGTGTGTAGCGTCACTCTCTCCCACTAGTGTGTAGCGTCACTCTCTCCCACTAGTGTGTAGCGTCACTCTCCCACGAGTGTGTAGCGTCACTCTCTCCCACTAGTGTGTAGCGTCACTCTCTCCCAC